CATTCACAATGTCTTGTCTAGTACCTTTTGTAATGACAGGTAAGATCTGTCTGAAGTCTCCCCCGAAGACCACTGTTTTCCCTCCAAAGGGTTTTTCAGCACTATTTGAATTAGTGAATCTCAAGATGTCCCGCAAACTTCTATCTAAGGCTTCGAAGCAATACTTGTGCATCATCGGCGCCTCATCCCATATGATCAGCTTGCATCGAATTATCAATTGAGCCAGTGGACTACCTTGTTTGATGTTGCATGTGGAGTTTTCATTCGGGTTGATTGGTATTGCAAAGCGTGAATGCGCCGTCCTACCACCCGGTAACAACAAAGCTGCTATGCCACTCGAAGCAACATTTAAAACAATCTCTCCTTTGGACCTCAAAGCAGCCGACAATGTCTTCCACACAAACGTTTTCCCTGTACCCCCATAACCATATACAAAGAACACCCCACCATTATTTTGTTCAACAGATTGCATAATGGTTGTGTACACTTGACGTTGTTCATCGTTGAGGCTCTGCATGCATCTGTCGTGCTCTTCACGCAGGGCAGCACGATCGTACTGTAACTCGTCAAAAATAAGCCTGTTCTGATACATGGCAGCATCACTTATTGTTGGAAATGGCATCGATGGATAGTCCTTTAAACTCCTACCAATTCTCTTTAGCATCATTTCTATTTCAGTCAATGCATAATTCTTAATCTCAGCCTCGGTCAACTTTAAATCTGATATTAGATGCATCTAAACGGTAATATCAAATAACATGTATAATATATTAAGTATGGTTTTGAATATTAATATATACATATATATATATATATATATATATATATATATATATATAGAGAGAGAGAGAGAGAGAGAGAGAGAGAGAGAGAGAGGAAACTTCATGTCCAGCCGGCCTGACGGGAACCGCCGTCCGGCCGAGGGCATTTCGGGCACTTCCCGATCGAATTTTTTGATGAAAGTTTTTGAGCATGTTCTTCATCATGTCTAGTTTATCCATACCAAATTTCAGCTCAAAATTCGATCGGGAAGGCATTCAAATCATTTTTTGAAGTTGACTGGGTTTTTATATGTATATTTTGACGCAGTCAACTTCAAAAAATGATTTCAATGCCTTCCCGATCGAATTTTGAGCTGCAATTTGGTATGGATAAACTAGACTTGATGAAGAACATGCTCAAAAAATTTCATCAAAAAATTCGATCGGGAAGTGCCCGAAATGCCCTCGGCTGGACGGCGGTTCCCGTCAGGCCGGCTGGACAGGAACGGGACTCTATATACACACACACACACACACACACACACACACACACACGTATTTGTTTGTAAAGATATATGTATGTGTAATATATGAACTGTTTAGTACCTGGATGCATTAAGTCTCTTCTTTGCCTGTGTAGAATGTCATCTGACATAAATGTCCAACATTTATCCCACACATGTTCTGGTCTACTCATTGTATCAGCTGCTAATAAAATCACAAACAACTTTCTGAGTAACCATGCAGTAGCCCAATAACTGCCTTCTGAGAATCCATCAACGTACTCCTTGTCATCGTCCAACAACCCTAACGCGAAACACACATCGCGGTATGTATTATGAGTAATTCCATCCACAGTTCTAAGATCATCATAGCTTGTAGCCCCACGTCTCAAATTAAGGACACATCGCAAATAAAAAGCTTCTCCTGATCCCGGAGGCACATACCCCTGCTTCCGAGGTTGTAGCCCTATTGCAAACCCCTGCTTCCGAGGTTGCCATTCTCTTGTTTTGGGTATCCAGACAAACTTTTGAGGGAATTCAGCATAAGTTAAATCCCTTGCCTCGGGGTACTTGACATTTGCTCTCATCCATGCAAGAAACATACTCTCCTTAACAGATTCTCGCAACACGACCTCACTTACCGTTGCTCCATCTTCAAAATAAACATACTGCTCGTCACGGAAGTGAAAGCTCAAACGTTCAACACTTGGATTCTTATACTGAATTCCGAATCTAAAAATTCTCCACGCTGCCTCGCATGGAGAAATATACCGACAATCATAGTACATTTTTATTTCATCAACGGGTTTCTCAGTGTCATCTTTATTTACTGTTTCATAAAATCCTGCTGTGACACGGTCATTTCCTTTGTTCACGTATTTGAACAAATATTTTATTGACCTCGATTGATTGCACCACTCCACATTAAGATGAGCACCGTACCTCATCAATAATGTTCTGTTGTGGGGCACAACATATCTATTGTCAAGTGGTGTTTTTCCTTTGACAATTGTTCTGCCATCATTCCGCCTCCTATATTTAGGATAACCCTCTTCATCAACGTTAGTTTGCTCATTGAAGTTCTTTGGGAAGTGCTTTGAACATTTGGACTGAACCATGCAAGGGGCGTTCCTTGCATCACTGCCACACGGTCCGTGCATCATATGTGTGCACACAGCTTTAAAATAATCAGGATCAACCCCCTCATCAGGTATTTCAGCTGAAATTATGCGGTCAATGTCTGCTGGGGTGGGGAATTTGTCTGCCTGCCCCATGAACAATAGAATATGAGCATGCGGTAGCCCACGCTTTTGGAATTCAATCGTGTAAATCACTGCGAGGAGTCAACATAACAATTATTATTTTATTACACACACAAACAAACATATATACATGTGTATTTATACAAAGCTACACACGTGATATTCAATATACCTGCTCGAATATGTCCAAATATCTGACCTTGTCTTATGTATCTGATCAAGTCATTCAACTTCATCTTAAACACTTGACAAATTATATCTGGACGATCTTCGGGATTCAAATTCCTTGAAGAAAGGAATTCATTAATTTTAGGCCATCTCGGGTTACACGTGAAAGTCAAAAATAGATCTGGGTACCCTGCCCACCGGCATATAGTCATGGCGTCCTGATAATTTTGAACCATGTATCGAGCGCCCCCAACGAAAGTCGGTGGTAGGACAACTCGCTTACCCTGTGTCGAGGCATCCCTCTCACCGCTTAGCAAAGCATCTGATAGGCCTTTGTACATTTCACACCTCAATTCTTTTTGATGGGTTCTAATAAACATTATCCTTGATGACTCGACCATTGTGTAACCATCAACTGTGAATTGTTGGAATAGTCTCCTACTCTTAAACATGAAAGAGTCCTCGTTTGCTCGTTCATGCAATTTATAAGCAAGAAACTCTCTAATGCTAACACTCCGTCGACCACCCGTGTTTGACGAATTCTCATAAGAAAAGGCTATATCCTCCCTGTATCCGTCCTCGCCATATGGAAACAAAAGCGGATATTGCAATCCCAAATACGCTGGATTTAGCTCATTTATTCTTTTCAAATACCCTCCTTGAGTTTCAACCATGATGTCTCTTTGTCCAGGTGATTCATCAAAATCACCCACCACCAATGCTGCGACCTCAGAAACTGTGGGTAAATTATAAGTTCCAGCATCTTTGGTTCTCCTCCCTATTAACTTTAGAGAAACTTTTTTTTCCCCACCCTCAGCTACTTTATCCCTCACCATCCTAAAGGACTTAACTAAAACTTTGTGTTGGTCTAACATTTTCCTTAATGTACTTACAATATGCGCATGCAAATTGTTCTACTTTTTTTGGATTTATCCTTCATTCCATCACATTATTTCACCATCTTCCCATCATACCCTCAATAATTCATACCCCATTTCACTATTCTTAATCTCACCCACTTTGGAAGTGGGAAGATATATGTGATACGGAGGGAGTACGTACTAATGTTTGACTCTTGTTTTGGAATTTTTTGAATCCATCTGTCTGCCTTGACGTTGATTTGAAAACTAAATTTTCGTTTATCTGCAAACTGCAAAGCTGTTAAAAGTAAATTTCACTTTTGATTTGACTCTGTTTTGTTTTCTGTTCGGTTGTTTAAAATAAAACTGAAAATAAAATCTAAGGCTTTTCACTAACAGATGATTTCTTCTCCTTTCTAATTTTACTTGGTTGTTGTTTCTGAAAACAACATGGGTTTAATTTCTTCATTTTTTTTAAAGTGTGTTACATTTGTGTTGATTCCCACAATAGTATAAGTGCATAAACCACATATAGGTTGTGATTCCTACGTACATGATTTGTATGAATCCTTTTGTCTGCCGTATGCTTTTTGGTTGATCAACATAAAGTAAAAATATTGAATTTTTTTTTTCCGAAATACATGACCTAAGTGCAGAGTACAATTCGGTAAAAGTGCTTATAAACACACTGATAATTCTATCCTGGAAATTTGCCAGTTTGAACCATTTGAATTGTCTGTTCATAATTTGCAGATTTTGACTTATTACAAATGCATATACATGAACAGAAAACTTTGTTCATTAACATATGCAATTTAAAAGTGCATTACTGCATGACTGACTTCAATTTTATTCCATATTCAAACTTATAATATGGATTATTGATAAACTTATTGTGAAGTTCAATAATCGGCCCAACGGAAGATTATTGATTTTTACTATCTTAAACAATTAATTATATGAGTTTTCTTTTAACAAACCCAAAGGTGTGTTATTTGATAACTTATGTAATGAAATTTAAGCATAAAAAAATGTGTTATATTTCTGCCCAAAGGCAGTATATGACATATTTTGAAGCCTAATTTTAATTTTAATATCATAATGTTTGATAGTTAGCATTAGCCAACGCAATGTTAGTTATTAAGCATGATATGAACTTTTCCTATTATTTGGTGTTGATAATAGGCTTATTTACTAATAATTGACATTCCTTATTGTATTCCCTTATATATTATGAATAGCTTCTATTATTGCCTCTCTTAAAACTTTTATTTCAGCATCTACTTTTACCCCGTACAATTATGGGATAGAACCTCTAAATGGTACAAACTTTTCAACATGGAGAGAATCTATAAAACTCTCACTTGGCATGATGGACCTCGACCAAGCACTGAGAATGGATCCACCAGGTGCTCCTAATAATGAAAGTACTGTGGAACAAAAGCATTCTTATGAACAGTGGGAGAGGTCCAACCGAATGTGCCTCATGGTGATTAAGAATTCCATATCTGTAGCCATTCGCGGAGCCATTCCTGACTCTGAAAATGCGAAGACCTACCTAGAATATGTGGAAGAACAATTTAAGGGCACTTCTAAAGCACATGCCAGTACCCTAATTCTCAAAATGTTGACGAGTAAGTATGATGGAGTAAGTGGTATTCGTGAGCACATCATGAAAATGTCTGATATGTCTAACAAGCTCAAAAGTATGGACATGGAGATCAGTGAAGGTTTCCTCGTTCATTTCATAATGACTTCTCTACCTGTGTCTTATGGTCCATTCAAGATCAATTACAACACGCAGAAAGAGAAGTGGACAATGAGCGAGTTGATTGCTATGTGTGTTCAAGAAGAAGAGCGCCTTAAAGCTGAAAGACCAGATGTTGCTCATCTCACCACCACAAACTCAAAGAAAAGGAAAGGCAACCGTCAAGGAGGAGGAAAAGGTAACATTTCTAAGGTCCCAAAGATAGGTGCAAGCGTGAACTCTGGTCCCTACTGTAAGTTTTGTCGTTTCAAAGGGCATTACCAGAGGGAGTGTCCTAAGTTTAAGGCATGGTTGCACTACAAGAAAAGTGCACATAGACCGCACATAGACGAATATTTTTTTTGCGATGGCCGCATAACTGTCGTTAAAAACACTATTAACAACACATTTTTTATTTACCACATACAAAACTGTGGTAAAAGCTTAGAGACGATAGTTTTTAACCGTGGCCAATGTTTTTACCACGGCTGTTGTGGCGACGCACGTAAAATTGACGCAAAACTGTCGTAAATGTTCCTCCTTATGTTTTTACGACAGTTTTGCGACAGTTTTAGGTGCGTCGGCACAATAGCCGTGGTAAAAACATTGGCCACGGTTAAAAACTGTCGTCTCTAAGCTTTTACCACAATTTTGTGTGTGGTAAATAAAAAAATGTGTGGTTAATGGTGTTTTTAACGACAGTTATGCTGCCATCGCAAAAAAAAAATGTGCTCCATGTGCAGTCTATGTGCACTTTTTTTTGTAGTGTTGACTAAGAAAGGTAACTTAACCACTTATGTTATTTATGAGTCATTGAACACATCAGTTCCCCTTAATACTTGGTGGATTGACTCTGGTTCAATGGTTCATGTTTCAAACACACTGCAGGGATTCCATTCAATCCGGGCATTGGGAAGAAAGCAAAGAGTGATTAAGGTGGGCAACGGAGAAGAATTAGAAGTGGAGGCCATTGGAACTATCTCATTAATTTTAGAGAATGGCTTCATTCTTCATCTTCGTGATGCTCTTTATGTACCTAATATTACTCGTAATTTAGTGTCTGTATCGAAACTAAGTGCTGATGGTTTTACATTTAATTTCGTATACAATAAAGTGACAATAAGCTTGAACTCAAATGTAATAGGATTTGGTAGCATGGAGGGAAACCTCTATAAGTTATGCTTACACACTAATTTTATGGAATCCCCATTGTCATTTAATATAACTGAAAATCCTTGCAAGAGAAAGAGAGAATTGGAATCGTCATCCAATTTGTGGCATCAAAGGTTGGGCCACATATCACGAGATCGAATGATAAGACTCGTGAAAGACGGCATTCTTCCAAATCTTGACTTCTCAGATTATGACAAATGTGTGAAGTGTTTGAAAGGGAAATTATCTAAGAAAACTAAGAAAGGCGCCACGCGAAGCACCGGTTTGTTAGAATTAATACACACTGATATTTGTGGGCCTTTTCCCGATTCCATTAGTGGTCATAACTCCTTTATTACTTTCATAGATGATTACTCACGCTATATGTACCTATATTTGATTAAGGAAAAATCTGAATCACTAGATATGTTCAAGGCTTATAAAGCCGAAGTTGAAAATCAACTTGATCGAAAGATCAAAGTAGTGAGATCAGATAGGGGTGGAGAGTTCTATGGTCGACACACTGATATTGGTCAAGCTCCCGGCTCTTTCCATGAATTTTGTAAAGATCACGGGATCATCAACCAATATACCATGCCTGGCACCCCTCAACAAAATGGGGTTGCCGAAAGGCGGAATAGGACTCTTATGGATATGGTTCGAAGTATGTTGGCTAACTCAAATCTTCCCCAATTTTTATGGACCGAGGCCCTTAAAACAGCAACCCACATATTGAATAGAGTGCCATCTAAATCTATTCCTAAAACTCCATATGAGTTATGGACGGGAAGGAAACCTAGTCTACGACGGTACCTAAAAGTGTGGGGTTGTCCGGCTGAAGCAAAAGTGTATAATCCTCAATTGAAGAAACTTGACATGAGAACCATTAGTTGTTCCTTTATTGGTTATCCCGAGAGATCTAAGGGATATAGGTTCTATTGCCCATCTCATACTACCCGAATTGTCGAGACTCGACATGCTGAATTCCTTGAGAATACTAACATTAGTGGGAGTAATAATGGTTCAAACATTAATGATGAACTTCAAGAAGGTGCTGGAATGAATCCATTTATTATACTGCCCATTCCACCTAACTCTTCACTTGAAGATCATAGTGAAAGTCATACGCCTCATAATAATAATGCAACAAGTCAAGAGTCGAATGAAACTCCAATAAATGTTGAACCAACTCCACCTGTTTCTAATGAAATTCCAGAAAATCAGCAATCCCTAAGGAGATCTCAAAGGGTGAGACGCCCCACAAATTTTGACGAATATTTGATATATTTAAATGAAGAAGCCGACTTTGATTTAGGGAAAGTCGTTAACCCTATATCTTTCCTTGATGCCGTTAATTGTGACCAATCGATTCATTGGAAAGAAGCTATGAATGAAGAACTTCTTTCCATGGAGAAGAACAATGTTTGGGAACTTGTTGAATTACCAAAGGGTCATAAGCCCGTTGGAAGCAAGTGGGTCTTTAAAACTAAATTAGATCCAAATGGAAACATTGAAAGATACAAAGCAAGATTGGTTGCTAAGGGCTACACTCAAAGGGAAGGTGTAGATTATCAAGAGACCTTTTTACATTTCTCTCGAAAGGACTCCCTAAGGGTCGTTATGGCTTTAGTAGCTCACTTTGATCTTGAGCTACATCAAATGGACGTCAAAACAGCCTTCTTAAATGGAGATTTACACGAAGATGTTTATATGATACAACTAGAAGGTTATGTTTCTAAGGGTCAAGAACATCTAGTGTGTAAACTCAAGAAGTCTATTTATGGGCTCAAGCAAGCGTCTCGACAATGGTACCTCAAATTTGATGAAGTCATGAAATCAAATGGCTTCATTAAAAACAAAGTAGATCAATGCACTTATCTCAAAATGAGTGGGAGCAAATTCATCATACTTGTGTTATATGTTGATGACATCTTATTAGCAAGTAGTGATCTGGATTTATTGCATGAAACAAAACGCTTATTATTTGGTCATTTTGACATGAAAGATTTAGGTGAAGCTTCTTATGTTATAGGCATTGAAATTCACCGAGATCGAGTCAAAGGGACGTTAGGTTTGTCCCAAAAGGCATACATTGAGCGTATTTTAGAACGTTTTAACATGCAACAATGCTCTCCATCAGTTGCTCCAGTAGTTAAGGGAGACGTTTTTGGGTCATTCCAATGCCCAAAAACCGAGGTTGAGAAAGAGCAAATGAAACTCATTCCTTATGCTTATGTAGTTGGAAGCCTGATGTATGCTCAAGTTTGTACTCGTCCAGATATCGCATATGTATCCGGCATGTTGGGTAGATATCAATCTAACCCAGGATTAGATCATTGGAAAGCCGCTAAGAAAGTTTTGCGGTATCTTCAAGGGACTAAAGAGTACAAACTTACTTACCAGAGGTCTAATAATTTTGAAGTGGTGGGATATTCCGATTCTGACTTTGCTAAGTGCAAAGATGATAGGAAGTCTACTTCGGGATACATTTTCTTGCTGTCAGGTGGGCCAATATCTTGGAAAAGCCACAAGCAAAGACTTACGACTACTTCAACAATGATGGCTGAATATGTTGCGGTGTACAACGCAACGTGTCATGGGATGTTGCTAAGGAATCTTATCAAAGGATTCAAAGTAGTAAATTCTGTCTCAAGACCGCTAAGGATTTATTGTGACAATTCCGCGGCCGTGAGCTTCTCAAACAATAACAGTTCGAGTGGAGCGGGATTGTTCCTCGATACAAAGTATTTGTTCGTTTGAGAAAGAGTGGAGGAAAACGAAATTTGTATCGAACACATCAACACGAATAATATGCTAGGAGATCCTCTCACTAAAGGACTTTCGCCCAGTATTTTTCAAAGACATGTCACTAATATGGGCTTGATGAAAGATCCTGTTTAGGAAATTATAGCGCAGTGCCTGAATAACTATCTTATGTATTAATTTCAAGTACTTCATTTAAAATTCCTCCCTAAGTATGTTTTGTCTATTCTTCATTGTGCACACAAAGTTATTTTAATAGACAAACATAATACCCAAAGTTTAATGTCATTTGGCTTATATTAATCCTTATACTCTTTAAGAAGTGTCAAAGTATGATTAATGGGGGTCCCGGGTTATATTGACCCGTTAGACTGTATTTGTTTGCTTTGATATTATTATGGAGTAAGATGAATTTTTCTTGGCCAACTAATACTTTAACTTATGTATAATTGTATAAATGATCTCAAGGTCAAGTGGGAGAATGTTGGAAACTATTCCATTTAAGTGCCCTTGGACCATTTATATAATTTAATACTATCGTATAAATTGGGGACATTTATGTCTTACCATTAAGTTTGCCATATGACAGATTTGGTCCCTGTATTTATGTATAGTTAACATATGATGGATATGTTTTAACATTAAATAATACATAAGGAGCCAGATCGTTCAATCCATCGAAATCCGCTTGTATCCTTAGAGAATCTATGATCAATGGCTTCATCATCTTCTACAACACAATCAAAGCATGGTTTCTCTCCAACCGGTTAGTGTTCTTATTGTTTGATTATATGAATTTTATCATGTTTTAGTGAGATTAGATCCTTAATTGGGACTGAATTTCTCTTCACTATATACATACCCAACTAAGAGAGTTGTGTACTAATTCTATGCACGGGAAGAATTTTTCTTTTAATTGTAATCAACATTGAGCGGTTGATTCACAGGTGATCAGATTTTGACAACACAGTTATTTTCACTTCAACCAATCAAAGCCAGAGCCCCAGACCAAAACGACCATAAACAGAAAAGACCGCAAGATAGCGCCCTAATCTGCAATTAAATTTGTATCAGAACGATGTGTCGGTTCATTTCCACTTTCCCTGGCTGGATTCACAACAGATGACCAGATGTTAGCTTCCCAGTAGACTAAGAAGGTTTTCAGCTTTCAGTAACCCCTAATCGCTTCGTGCATAAACTAATGAAGCTCCGTGTGTACATCGATGGAGGTAGCTTCCTTTACAACCCAATTTCTCCGCCAAATCCTAATCTCAAATTCTCGGCAGTTTATCCCAACCAAAATCGTTACGACTGCAATCGTCTAATTTCCAACAAAAAGGTGTGGGTTTTTGTCATTTCTGGGTGATTTTTTTTTTTGAAATCGAGTCTTCAAGATGTATGTTTTGAATTTCTTATTTGTTTGCAGATAAGGTGGGAGAAGAAGTCTCCTCTGGTTATTGCTAATTGTTCACAGAAAAACTATCAAGGTGGCAGTTTTGCTTTTGACTTATGATATGTACATTTATATTTATAAATTTATCATGATTAAAAGTAAGAATTTTAATTCAGATGAGGAAGTGAATAATTTGGGGGTTAAAGCTGCTCTGTCTTTGCTCATGTTCTACAAGAGTGAGTTATTGTTAGTCTGTGCTTTTTATGTGATCATTATTCATTAATGTCTGGACTTGTTTGGTATCAGTTTCAGTTATTTATTTATTCTTATTTTGAGATTTTAAAGGTTACATGATACGAATTTTGTAATAGACTAAAAAAGAATCATTATAGTTCAAAGTAACAAGAAATTGAAATCTTATATGTTCTTGTTTTTCATAACCTTGTTTTTAGTTTTAAAGAACTGAAAGCTATACTAAACAAGCCATAAACTATTATATGATTCTTTGTGATAAGATTTCCGGTTGGGTTGATTAATAAGAGGGTTTGAGCAGGTGAAATATCACCATTGTTGCCCAAAAGTTGTCGATACATTCCGACATGCAGTGAGTATTCCATGATTGCTTACAAGAAATATGGATTTGTAAAGGGTACTGCCTTGACTGCTTGCCGTCTTTGTCGCTGTAATCCTCTGGGTAATTTATTGTTCGGAGTAGTAATTGATCTTCGTTTGATTTGATGATATTTAACTAAAAAATCGGATATATAGCATGCACTTCTAGTTTTATTACATGAAAATTGGTATGGAGTAGCGTTAAGGATGCCAGTCTGTTATACAATTTGAATGATCATTCTTTAAATTTTATTCCAGGAGGATCTGGATTCGATCCCCCAAGATGGTATGGCGAGACAAGTCCACCAGAGCAGTGAGTGAGCTACTTGCTATTTGTCTAAATGCTTTTAGGTCCTCATATTTCTTCTTTGTAAGGATCTATTTGGAACTCGGAAATTTGGAGGTAAATCTAGGAGAGTTTTGTAGAAAAAGAAAACGTGAAAGAAAACGAAAAAAAGTTGGTTCAAATTTAACAAATCAATTATAGATACATGTTTGAACTGATTTTTAGTTATATATTTTTAAATATATGTATATTATATTTTTTAGGGGTCGATATGTATGGAAAAGTTTAAGAAGTTTTGATCGATTTCATTTTCCTTGATATGTTCCAATATAAAACCGAACGTTCAAAATATTTCCTAGCATTTATTTTATTCACCTACAATTTTTGGTGATCCAAACATAGTCATAATAGGATCTATCATCTCAGTAGCAGCCATCTTTTGACTGAATCTTTTTGTTTTCCTGAGTTTTGAAATATTTTCTTCTGCTAGTAGTAGTGAGATATTCCGCTTTGAGGAAAGTGGCATCTGATATCTGATCAGAAAAAGGGTTCCATTTGCATAAAATCATTATATTTACTATTTTGCATAACCTTTCATGGCTCTATTGTCATTCTTGATTGTCACAACATATTTACTGTATGGTACTGCTTTTTATAAAATATTGAATTTTGAAGAAAAAACACTGAGATGTAACTGAAGTGTGAGGTGAGGTTTATTTTATTGTGAAAAACAAGAAGTTTGGTTACTATCTTATGCTGCAAAGTGCTTAATTTGATAAATATCTGGTACATCCAATTAAATGCCATAGCCATTCCTCACTCACTTCATGAAGACTTTAGATCCAACCTACCATGTTTTCCTTTTCCCACTTTTCATCACAAAAAAGAAAGAAAGAAATGAATAGGTTAACTTTTTGAGCTTTTGCGCCTCCAAAATTCATACAAGTAATAAAAGAGTCACAATGGTCCCTCATGGTAGACTTGCAGCAATTGCATTCTCCTGTTTTTAAAGTGTGCGTATATTGCTAGATACAATAATAAAGGCCTAGCTTTCTCTTGCTTCAATGCTCAAAAACTATGATCCTCGGGCAAGATAGGTGAACAGAAAACGTCCACTTCTCTAAGCAATGATAAGTTTGCTTGTGGAGCAGGGGCGAACTGGTTTCGGAACCAAACCAGATATTACGGAAACCAAATATCATCGTCTCAGTGTCTCACGCACAATGCAAAGTAATGAAGAGCACCGGGTTTAAGATCTAAGTGCTCTAAATGTGACAATAATGTATCAAATTGATTAAACATGGTGGCAATTTGGCAGGCAAATCAATATTCTGTGATTGCATTGCTTTGAACATGAAGATACATTATGTACAGGTAAAAGTGCATCAGTGCGCGATTTGCACGTCGAACGCTCTTTTCATTCAGGGGACTTGTTTTGCCAACAAATTGTCGATGGACAAAGACAAGATAGAGCATATATGTCTTTTGTAATTGACAAATACCTAATCCTATAAGCAAAAGGGTGGGAATAAATTCAGCTTCTTCAAGGGTGCTTACTAGAATCCAGAGGAGGTTAGGACTATGTTTGGCACAACGGGCTGAAGCTGAAGGCTAATGTCTGAAATAGGAGCTATTGTCTGAATGATAAACTATTGTCTGAAGCTGAACATTGAATTGCTGAATCTGAATCGCTAGCTGGGTGGAGTAGACCCGTTTGGCAAAAAGAGCTGAAAACATGCAGGAATAATATGAAATTACATTAAAGGACATATGATTTATTAATATACTCCGTAATAAAGTGTGTTTATCATAATTATTTTTATATTTACATCTTTTGTTAAAATATATGTATACATGTAATATAATACATACTATATAATTTAGTACTTCGTATAAAATAATATAATAAGAACTTTCCAATTTAATATACGTGTAATAAGATATTTTATAATGACATTTATTTTAAGCTATGCCAAAAAAACTAAAACACCTTTTTCCAGTTTTAAGAATTTTGTTTTTTATTTTAAAAAGAGAAAAACCGCAAACATGAAGTAGAAATGAAACTTGTTAGACTTTGATCCACTAATCAAGTAATATAAAAATAGATAAGCAATATACTAGTGCAGAAGAAACCTCAGAAATTAGAGAGATGATGTGTATATATCCACTATCCATTATCCAACAAGCAATACACAAACAAATATATAATCGAAAAGAAAAGCATATGGAGATAAATTCTTGGGAGAAAGCAATGATCAACGAATTGAATAAACTGATCACCAGATGGAGTAAATAAAGGTGAGTCTGGAGGATAATTTGGGAACCGAATTTTTTTTAATAACCGGCTGAATACAAACGTTGGAGTTGATAGCGTTTCTATTCAGCTCTAATTTTTCAGGTTCAGCCCATTTAAGTTCTTTTGCCAAACAGGTCTACTTGTAAATTAATTGACTGAAATTTTAATATTTCAGCTCATTTTGAGCTTATTTGGCTTGCCAAACATAGCCTAGGTAGTGTATATAGTCGATGTTTACAACTTGACAAAGACGACTTTGTTTGCAAGAACAAGGGCAATTTGTTCTAAATATTCCTCAATAAAATGTTTTTCTTGAAAAAAGTCGGTTTTATATACAGATCAAAATGATGTTTAAATCAGGGATATTTGAGTCCATGAATAAATAAATTGCACCGAATTAAACATCCACCTGAATTCGCCAATGGGTATCAAGAAGAATAATATCTACTGGAGAGATTCTATAAATGAGATTCTCTAGCTAATTAAGCCTTAATTGACCCCTTAAAACAAAACTATCTGCTTACTATACATATGGGTGCATCTTTTTTCGAACAGTATCAGACACTACATATGGCATTGTTTATTAAGAAACTTGTCACTAAAGCATCTTGGGATAAAAAGAAGAAACATCTATCACCAATAACTTATAGATGGTGTTAAATATCATGCTTTATGTTAAAGCCTTGAACAGTTGTTGCTTAAGTGTCAAGGCAAGTTCTTTTCCCATTTCTGTAGCACACTTAGCTGCATTTTTTCCCTGTTTTTTTTGTTCATTTTTTGTTCTCATTCAACAATATGTGTACCTTCCTTCTCAAGAAATGATTCACTGTTTTGTACCGCTTTTATCTCTTCTAAACAGTTATTAATCAAGTAGAAAAGAGGATATTAAATGAATGGAGGGGAGTACAAGTAACAAATTTAAAAGGCACGCCATAGCTCTGATCTATCAATGTTGAAATAATCTGTTTGGTTCAATTCCTCTTTAGCATGTTGAAAAATACTACCTCCGTCCCATAATGGCTGTCCACTTTCAATTTGGCACGATTATTAATAAAGTGGTTGAAAAGTAAAAGTTGTTGAAATTTGAGAAGAATGAAGTGAATTGATAAGAACCACATATTTCATCTAGAAAAGGAAACAAGACATTCATTTTGGGACAACCCAAAAAAGAAAGTAAGACAACCAAAATGAGACGAAGGGAGTAATTCTTGTTTAGAAAATAGACATGTAATGAGATTTCTTCACTGGGTTCAACTTAGGGATGGACCTGGGCCGGTTCCGGTTCAGGCCTGGGCTCGGCCGGGCTTTTTTTTGGAATGAAGAATTGGCCCGGGTAGGCAGCGGTTCCGAGTCGGCCCGGTTCATTTATTATTTTTTTTTAATTTTCTTTTGCTTTTCTAATTAACCCCGGACCCCCCGTCGGGCCTAGGCTCGAACCGGAACCGGTTTCCCGGGCTGGGCCGGTTCTAAACAGTACCGGGCCTGGCCGGTTTCGGGCCGGGCGGCCCGAACCGAGTCTAGCCCTAGTTTAACTTAAGTGTACACAATTTTACTCCCGATGTCTTGGCCAAAAATATCTAATCGGGAGTTATACGTGTATTCCACACAACTTCGTCATTCAGTTAATAAGAATGAGGTATCTTAACTTTAAGATGAATGACAATATTGATTTCAATTATTAAACTTATACGACTCACCCCATTTTCAATAAAAACGGGATATTTATATATATGTGACAAAAACATTCATAAATTCCCAATACTATATGACTAACAATGTAACATAAATGTACATGTGTTTATATGAGTAATAACTCAATTGAAGGGAGAAACACTCCATCATCATCATCATTACTCTAGTGTCGCAAAGGCTTCCATCTTCGGTGGGGTAAGGGGGTCAGAGCCTCAGAGGATTCGTATTAATTGAAGGGAGAAGCATTATTATTAATATAAAAATAAAACTGTATAGTAATATTCCTAATAATATTCTCTAAAAAAAATTATATGTACACATTTACAATTTACAAATATCGGTATAATTCGTATGAATGGTCTTTTTCTTTCATCCATCCCAATTTCTGTCTCGGTTACATTACTTACTACAAGTATCGTTAAATATGCGGTCGAAATCTCCATACTTAACATAGAGAGTTGATTTTAGAATCTTGCACGTCCTTGTGTTGTCCATTCTTCCTCTTAAGCTTTGTTATACTTTTTTTTAGTAGATATTCTAGTTCGTAAAATTGAAGCAAACAGGAATACAAGGTGGTAGAAAGATCTAATCAGATAAATCAATCTTCGGAATTTTTTTAATTTGTTTTCACAATAGATATTTTGTCATTTTTATTCGAAGGGTTAATTTACTTGTCATAACTTCATACATACTCCGTATATTGTATAATTTAATTCTTTGTTTACAACAAGCTAAAAAAGTAAAATTTAAATAACCTCTGAAATAATTATCGAACAATATCTAAACGACTAAACATATCCATTCATGTAAAAATATTTAATCTTAACATATGTTGATTTTTTAAAAAAACTTATCATACTTTAGGTTCACCATAGATTAAACGAAGCATAAGGATAGTTTGATTTGGAATTGAGGACAATGAAGATAAACGTGTGAGAAATGAAGTAAGAAGTTAGGTGTATATCTCCCATTCATATTTCAAAATCTTCCGAATTGGACAAATTTTTGATGGACTTGTGGCCGCTTTTGACCTATTCTGATTCTATTTCTAGATCGATTAGCTGCTGATCCAAGATTGGCGATGCTCAAAATACTACGTACGTATTATTATATACTTGATCTTGCTCTAATTTGATTTTTACCTACTCATATTTTGCATTGAAATTGGTTGAATTCATCGATGTTGCTGAAATTTAGTAAATTTTGCTAGATTGACTGATTTTGCTGAATTATGAAAAAATCGTATTCAAAATATAGTTCATTAATAAAACTAAATGAAAATTATATGAAAAATAATTAAAATGATCTTCTGCAATAACTTATTTTGATTATTACGCAATTCAGTGTGCGAAATCAACCGTGTTTGGTGATAAGGTTGACAGATAAAGCTGATAAGCCAAAAAACAAGGTTATCAAATGAGCTCTAAAATAGATTATTGAAAATATGTGTAGATATTAAACAAATGTTCAATTTTTTTGTTAAAGAGTTTCTACAAAGTACTCCCTCCGTCCCGCAAAGATGTTCCTGATTTGACCTACATACATATTAAGGAAACAAACTTATCAGAGGGTAAATTTTATTGTTTCGACACTGTTTGACACTGTTTTGTACTATTTGACATTGTTTTGATGTAGGTTAACTTTCCATTTAGGGAAAGGGAAACTTCTTTTTGGGACATCCAACCTGATCTATTTAAATATCTTCTAGTCTGTTTTGGTCTAGTCTCAAACGGAAATAGCGGCACAACTAGGGGGCCAATCTGGATCCTGGTTCGCTCCAAATAAAAAAAAATGACTACTCCCTCCCTCCCATTTTAAATGTACCGGAGGAGGGTGGCACGAGTTTTAAGAAAAATGGGTTTGTGTAGTTGATATTAATTGATAAAGTAAGAATAAAGTAAGAATGATTTTGAGCCACACAAACTTTATCAAGTAAGGTATGAGAAATTGAAATAGGGACATTCCAATATGGTAAAACGGGACATTTAAAAGGGGACGAAGCGAATATATTTTTAATATAAAAATGATGTCTAACTTGTTTCATAAATACTCCCCCCGTCCCGAAAACAACCTCCCGGTTTGACTTTCGCACACTTTTAGAAAATAAATTTGACTTTAATGTAGAGTTCACTGTTTTGCACTGTTTAAACACTGTTTGGCACTGTTTAAACATTGTTTGGACACTGTTTAAACACTGTTTGACACTGTTTAAACACTGTTTGACACTGTTTATCACTTTTTTTATGTAGATAATTTGCCAAATAAGGAAAGTATTGAAGTGTAAAGTTAATTTTAGGACATGCATTTAAGGAAAGTGGGAAGTTGTTTTTGAGAAGGAAAGTGGGAAGTTGTTTTTGAGAGGGAGAGAGTACTTTTTGTACCGATCCAATGCATTAGTTCCGCTCTTGAATGAAAATCATTTGCCAAACGCACCCTAGAGTCGCATCCTCAATAAGTATCCTCCCTCCGGCTTTTAACATTTGCCTCCAAAAATCGCACCCTTACTTTCCCATCCAAACGCTCCGCTTTCTATCACCGCCGTCTTTAATATCCCGGCGTTCAGTCCAGACTGAAAATGGTGGCAAAGGAACTCATCAGCGTCACGCTTCTCCTCTCCTATCTGACTGTCATTCATGCTAGAATCCCCGGCATTTACACCGCCGGCCCCTGGCAGAGTGCCCACGCAACCTTTTACGGCGGCGCTGACGCATCTGGCACCATGGGTATGCACCCTAGTCGACCATTCCATCTATGAAATAATGAAATCAAACTGTTTATATTTATCATCCACATTAACATTATCTCTGGAATTTTTGCTTGAAATTTCAAATTTGTTAGTCCTTGTTGTTCACGCTGTGTGTTTTTCCTTGTTTTGGGGAAGGCGGCGCGTGTGGTTACGGAAATCTGTATAGCCAGGGGTACGGAGTGAAC